AGGTCGCATCGATTACGGCCGCTTGAATTTGAAAGAGTCTCTATCTGGCTTGTCTTCCTTAACTTGAACAGAAAAAGATCGGGTTTTTTACATGATTGATGTTGTGATTGATTTTCTAAAACAAACACTCATTGTACCCATAATCTCCGATACTAAGCTATATTCATATTTTTAATATTTTTTTGGCGAAATTTTATATCGATTTGCTTATCTATGCATTCAACGTGGCCGATCTTGTCTCTTGATTGAAAAGCTTATAAGCATACAATGAGAAAAATTTAATGTTTCTTAGTTCGTAACTGTGCTAAGAAAAGAGATCACTGCAACACGCTTAAACGATGCCTTCCTTTGAGAATTTTGGGGGATGAAAGGAAAGGTCAGAGAACAGTAATATCCGATCAAATTATTGAAAATAAATATGTAACTTTTAGAAAATGAAATTATATTTGAAAGTAATTAAAAAATGCCTTCACCCAAGCCATTCTCGAAAAACATGTTTCGTTTAAGGGCTATGCGACCTGGGGTGTAAAAGGCGCAGACATGAATCTGAGAAAAACGAAACATTTACTGTGCATATCTGTAGCTAGAGAAAGACTTAAGACAGGTTAGAAGGAGTGATTTTCTTGCGATTGCCGAAGATTTAAATCACAAAAGTTCGCGAAAATTTAAACGAGAATTTTGGACCCTAAAAAAGACATTCTTTTATCAGCAAGTAAGTAAGAAAATTATATTCGATCGTCATCGATTCTTTTGTACCCATCACAGTAAAGAAAAACTAAATTTTCATACCCTATAATGTGAAGTTCGCGCAGCTGACGCGTCTGGGCGTTGTAGACATGGACTAGTTCAATTTAAGTCACTTCCAAACTCTTTTGCTAATTAATACGCGATATCTTAATTTTCGCTAACGGAAGAAAGAACACAGACACTACACAATCGGAACAAGCTTAGATGCATTTTCAAATTTGAAATTGACCAAGTTTGATCTGGCGCGTTATAAATGTATTGAAAAAAAACTACATTTTGATGCACTACAACATTGGATAGACGTTACAGTTTCTATACATTTATCTGATTTTGAGTTTGAGTTTCTGAGTACTAATCAAAAAACCAAATTTTTATTTCTTTTGAAAAATGCAGATATTCTGATTTTATGTAATACTGCAGGCGTGTCCTTTGACCGCTTGGGTCCATTTTCAATAATAACCGGCGTGCAAGAACTTCCAATGTTTTTACCGAATTTGAGGTCGATAACGTTGCCTTTATGGCTAGGAAAACGTTTACAACACACATTACACAGACTGGCAGACAGCCAGACGGACACGCTTAAATCGATTCAGAATTTGATGCTGTTGGAGAATAAATATACTTTGTGGGGTGTCTCTGAGGCTTCGTTGTGCGTGTTGCAAACGTTTTAACAAAATGAACATACCCCTCATCCTTGGATGATGCTTCCTATTGCGCATTGCCAACGTTTTGAACTTCTATTTTGATAAGTATACCTTTCTTCATTTAGAAATTACAAATTTGCAACACCCACGATTCAAGTCACAATTTGCCGTCGCAGGATCGCTTATCGATGCGTCTGGCCTTGTGAAATGTAGACGAGTTTTAAGCATAACCTTTGCCGCCACATTACTGAATGACGAAAATGATTAGCCAATGCTTTTGAGCGAAATTAACATAAACGTTCCTTGTAAAGTCCTCCTCAAGCATTAGCCTCTCGTCCCACCTCATTAATATAGATATAATTTCGAGCCTGTTACTCTCACGAATATCATCAGTGGTGATTTAAATGGCACATACCACTTTTATTCAGGTTGTTTGATCACGTTGTGCCTCTGTCTTTATACTCAATGTTTTCGTCAACATTTATCTATGTATATATTCGCTATTTATTGAATTATTGCAAATTATTTCATCGGTAGCTACATTTAAGTTTATCAACGTACATCTGAATAGCGCTAGTAGTGTTATCTAATGTCTGACATATTCAATTAATGAATAATTATAATGAATATCTATTAGTATAATTTGTACATAGAAAAACCTCTGATGTCTTAATATCGTAAACAAAGGAATTTGAACTCAAAAAAGAGCTTTCAATAAAAAGAAAAATTTGAAATATATGTTTAGAATATATTTAAAAAAAATTCAAATGAAAATTTCTTACTCATAATTAAGAAATTCTTATAAAAGTTATTTTTTTTTCTTTTTGTTATAAACAAATTTCAAGATGCGCAGATGACTTAAAGTAGGTATGTTATGCACCTGTCTGCTGATTGTTGATAAAAAAAAAGATCATAAAATTTTATCAGGAAAGTAATTTTAAAGACAAGCATTATTATCACACAGCATATGTAATGCACATACATACCTATATATATATATATATACATGCATTTATATGAACGGTAACAACAGCGACAGAGTGTGTAATTATACGCACCAAACCAAAAACAAAATGAAGAACAGATGTAACACCTATTATAAGGAAAAGAAACGTAAGACAAAGAAATAAAATAAATAATAGTTATTATAGTATAATTAAATACCCACCATACAATGTAAATAAATAAAGTATTTTCATTTATGGCCATATCTGCACAAGTCTACTACTATATTATATGGTTGGTTCGGGAATACAAATGAAAATAAATCTCTTATAAAAGGTCTACGAATAATGGAAATAAAATTTTGCTGAATAATTTCTATATTCCATAAATTAATACACAAAGAAGGACGACGTTGCTCTGGCAACCGATTGAAAGTAGCATTCATTATAGACAAATAAAACTGGGAATAGTTGCTTTTATAAAATACCGAACGATATAAGTTCGAAGTCACGGCCTAACAATTGGTATACAGCAAATACACATGTGATGTAAGAAAAGCGAAAAACTGCAATAATATGACATTAATATGATATACTGTCTCTTGAGCGATCAGTTAAAATTTTTCGGAGATATTCGTAAATACATATATTAAAAGTTTTTTTCAAATAGGGCATAACCAAAAGTAATAGTACTAGACTTGTCGGTGTGCCACACAGAAAGTTATTTCAATGGATATATAAACTATTTGCAGTTCTGCAAGTTGATGACGATGATAAAAAAAAGAAAAAAAGCAGACAGAAAACAGAGAGAAAGACATTCTCCGAGGTTGTCCTCTATTATTGTTTTCATTTTTAGATTTGAAATTAGATTTTATAACTATTGCGGAAGTGTCCTTTAAAACTTCTCAAGTGCCAGATGAACATTGACTTGAAAGTTTAAGTTGCTTAAATATATATATATATATATATATATATGCATATATAAATTAAGAAATTTCCGATACGTATGTGCGAATGTTGCAATCCGGATGACAAAATTAGTATACCCTTCGTCCTTTAGCGATGGGTATAAAACACTGCAGCCATTAAAAAAGATTAAAGGCACAACAACATAAAAAGAGCGGGGCAACAATAATAGTAACAACTGTAACTATTGAACACCTAATTACAAACATATAAAAAAAAAGCAACAATAACAACTACAACAATGCTGTGGAAAGTAGCACTTAGAAATTATTGAATATAACACGCCGGCAGGGCGACTTGACTCATAAAAGGAACGGGGGTTACAATGTAAAAATGACGTACATACATACACATATACGCACAAAATGATAAATGCATTTTATGGGGTGGAGTTTCTCACCGGCACCGGCACCGGCATCGAGAAAAGAGAGCCAAGAGAATAATAAGTGAGAAAAATCATTAACGCCAAGCGTTAATCGCAGCACTTGATATAATGATTGCTCTAAAAATAAAAAAATATAAAAAATAAATAAAAATGGAGTTACATCAGAAGAAGAAACACAATACAAATAACCAATCACAACTAATTTGAACAAAAAAAAAAAAAAAAACAAACCAAAAAAAAAAAATCCAATTTGGTGAGCAACGAAATGAACGAGAGAGAGAGAGATTGAGAGATTTTATTTATAACCAGTTCTGCTGAGAGTCGTGAACACATGCGCGCCGAGTAATTAAAACACGCATTTTATGTTACACGTAACTTAAGATATTATGATCATCACAACGGTTACTACTAATCAGTTATATTAGTAATGATTGCATTTTAAATAATAATTATTATTATTATTATAAATTTAGCCAGAGAATAAATTCGAAGACTCAAAAGTCTTAAAGCACTAGCATCTAAGGCTTTCGATTTTATTAAACACTCTACCGCATTTGAGATTTGTTGAATCCACGACCATTGAGTTGTTAGTCGAGAGTCTTGCCTACTCGGCCACTCAGTCGGATTTTAAATAATTAATAGTCAGCACTTTCACGCCGAAAGATTCATTATTTACAAAGTCTCGATCCCTTGAAATTATTGTGCCAAAATAACTATATATGTAGTATTAAAAATCGAATCTAGTGAATCAATAACAGAGACTTGATGAAATGATAAGCCGAGGAAATAAATTATGATCAATAATAGTATTCTACGTGTATTTTGTGATCCGTCGTATACGTTATTTCCAAGAGTCTGAAGACTCGCGTATACACAGCTTTTTTCGCAATTAAGCAAAAGAATATCAAATCATTAATTGAATCAATTTTAAAGTAATTGACAACACTGTTCAAACAATACGGTGAGAGGGGGAGACTGAATCACTTTCGATACTCTCTCTAATTCTCTTTCAACATTCTGAGAGAGAATGCTTGGCAGCATACTGTGATTTCCGATTACTGCATTGCATTGTTATATTGTAAAAATTGATTTCCTCTCTGAGAGGACTTATTCGATTTCTGAGAGAAGGAGAGAAACATCAATATAAAATCTAAACATTTCATTTTCTAGCTTCTTCTTTCATTTGAAACTTTTGTGTGAATGTGTAAATAATATACGTATATAAGTCAGTCGCGCAGGCGAACGCGTGCTTCTTTTAAAACGAAAAGTGTAAAAGGTGGGAGACGTTCAGTGCGTGTACATTTCTTAAATATCCATGCGATAATATGCGCAAAAATAATAATAACCAAATTTTAATTAGGTGCACACAAAATGCAATTGATTGCTTTAATTAAAAATCAATCTTAATTGATTATGTCAATGCGTGTCATCGTGTGATCTATTAGATAGGCGAATGTAAAAAGGACAAACCTTTAACCTATGAAATCAAATATATAAGGAAATCAAAGCGTTTAACGTGAAAAATATTACAAGCTAAAAAAATATCACTCATCTCGTCTCGTTAAGTTTGATGTTTTTGATTAACAACACACAAGCATTTAATTAAATAAATATATATTTGTGTTTGATTGAAAGAAAAAAAGAAAGTGAAAATGCTAAATGTTCATGAATTAATGGAATGTCGAATGCAACAGCAGCTTGCTTATGAGATTTATCGACAACAAGTCATGCAACGTATACCGGGTAAGTAAAGAGAAAAATGATAATCAATTACCGCCGGCTTATTACAAATATTTGAATACATTTTTTTTTATTTATTTATTTTTTTTTAATTCTCATTTATATTTTAAGATCCCTTTCCATCAATAATGCCTTTAACAGCGCCATTTCGACATATGATTATACCAACGCGACCCACTTTGCCCGGCACAGTCGAAATCAATTTAGAAAATAATGATTTATGGAAACAATTTCATAAAATCGGTACTGAAATGATTATCACAAAAAGTGGAAGGTAAGAATATTGTTTTCATTTATTCCCATAGAGGAAATATATTTGAGTGATTGTAAATACATGCACTTTACATGTTTATTCATAAGTCCTCGTTAAATATTTATTCATTAAATCAAACATTAGTTGGCGCCCTATACGCCTTGAGAATTGTAAAGAATGAAAATGAAAAAAAAAAAACAAAAACAAACAATATTGTTTTTCTTTAGAAATGGAAAAAAAAAAAAAAAATTCTTAAAGTCTTCTCTTTTTTTTTTTTGCACCTAATTGAAAGACCTAAATAAATATTTGTTAAATTTGAATGAATTTTTTAAGATTAAAAGCAATATTCCTGAGGTATGTTAGCTTACCTTAGACCGTCGATGAAGGAATACGTTGTGCGTTTATGTGATATATTTAAACCAATGTGTTTAAGACCAATGTGGAATAAAGCGGGAAATTTAACACTAAGTAATAAACATATTTACAGCTTCCACTTAACGATTATGACGAACGTTAATTAATTTTCTTTATGCACTTTTTTAATAAACGGAAACACACCTTCGAAAGTCTATGAAATCTAATGTTTAGCACTTTCTGTGAGTTTCTGATTTTGCCTAGCTAGTTCATCCGTATATCGTTGTCTTGTTATGAAGATCGCTCGTCAAAAGCCAAACGAGAGAGACGGCTCTTATTTGAGTGAATTAAAATGAAATCTTTTATTAAAATGTAACGACTTTCATGCAAAAAGAATTCTTTATTTAAAATGAAGTAAGAATTGGCTCTAATTGGCAAAACTGCCGAAAGTGAGAAAGTGAGTACACAAAAACTCACCCCTTAGTTTAAGGGTATAATTAAAATGCACACAAAAAATTTCACTATTCAGTGTTATAGTTATGCGTTACATTCGAAGCTGTTTGTTTGCCATTTTTATGTTTATGCTAAACATGTTAGGTTGAATTTTTATTGTACCATTTCACACGAAATAGGGCGATGAAAACTTGCTAACTCCGCTTGCTAGTCTGCTTCTCTCTGTTAGCGCACTGTAAACAGTGCCGGTTGACATTTGGACTACAAGCTCATCTTGAAGATATGAAAATAGTAACACCGATGTAATATTTTACTTGGCCGATTTAATAAATGAATGTAAATAAAAAAGAATTTTTTTTTCTTCTCTAAAAAATGAAACACAAAAGAAGAAATGAATGCACAAAACTACGTTTAATCATTTGCCCATAGAAAGCAATAAGAAACTTTTCTTTTTAACGTATTGGTACCCTTAAGCCAGTGTGATCTTTTTTCATCTTGTAACGATGCCTTAATGTTTCTCAACATTTGCTACCTTCTTATCTACCAGCAATTTTTTATACAAGCTAAGAATTTCCATACATTCTTCGCGTAACCTTTCTAAACACATTTTCATATGAAAAGAGCCGCCCGTCATGTAAAAAAAGCAGAGAGCATCGAATATCATTTATTACTGTTAAAGGGGCCAACGTGATGCTGGCACTTATTTACCTTAACTAAAACTTAGGATGCTTCGTGCATGGCTTTAATAAACAAACTGCTTCCGAGATGAAATGTTGAACACACTGTTGTCAGTTTCTTCGAGTTTTGTCCGCATCTAAGTCTAATCACCTATAGCCATATATATATGTATAACCATTCAAGACAATGTCGCTATGACAACAGCCGCTAAAAATACGTAAAGGTATTAAAAAGACATTTGTACCGCTTAGCGGCGATGAGGTAAAGCTAAAGCAATTACTTATACTTCCCTTTTTTTTTTACTTTTTTATTTATTTATTATCGAATTTAATCGTTATGTGCACTGGTATTTCCCATTTCTTTATCATTTTTACCCATAGAAGTCTCCCATCGAAATTAACGCAAACACGTAATATATAAAAAAAAAAAAAAAAAAAAAAAACATTTCAAATATTTATGATCTTAAATTTTCATAATTGGCACGATGTGGCTAAATGTTACCAAAATCTTTTGTGGATTTAGAATAGATGGACGTTTTGAAGGTTATTCATGGATGTTATACAAAAAAAAAAACAAGAAAAAAAAAAAATCGCATGAAATACCATTTTTCCCTTCTAGTTGGAAAAAAAACATCTATTTACCGTTAGTAGTAATAAAATCATTCCATCAACTATTTATTATTAGGAAAAAAAAAGCATTTAATGCCACGCCAACCCTTTTGAATGAGATAAGAAAGAGTTAATCGATTTAATTTCTCATATCAGTTCACAGTAAGCGTGAAACGGTGAAATGATTCTAAATTTTCCATTGCTTGCTGCTCTCGAATTAAATGTCATCGTATAATAAACTTTGTTGCTATGATGAAAAGTTTTCGTAGTGTATAAGCAAAGGAAATGCACAATTTTTCCTCCAATCATATTATACTGGGTCCGAAAAATAAAGCTTATAACCTCAAAACCCTTTATTTATTTTCAAATCAATTTTCTTTCTAAGCCTGCGGCCCAATCTCAAATTTCACATGATAAACGCCAATAATGCGTTCAGCTGCGTTTGGTTTTATGCGATACAAAATGTGTTTTTTTTTTTTGTGTGTGAAGACAAGATTTTTAACCATCCGCCAGTCAGGAAATGCATTATTGCGGGAGGTGTGACTGAGGTCTACCCATACGACCGGGAAACAACCCGCCAATCAACTGATCAATGCCGGGCCAAGACTGAAAAAACCGCGCGCAAGTCACTGAAACATCCAAGCGTAATGTTAACAGTTTTCTTCAATGATCGTGATATTGTCTGCTATGGACGCCTTCCGCCAAGCCAAGTTGTTAACAAGAAATATTTTTTGATTGTTATGAAGGCGACGAAATGGTTTTGGATGGATAAATAACGATTTTTAGAGGCTTGTAAGCCAAATCAGCTTTGTTTTTTCGGACACTGTGGTGTATTCTTAAGTAGGTAAGCCACTGTCTTTTTTTTATTTTGGTACGAAAGGAGAAAATAGGAGAATAATAAGATATGACGAAGATATCAAGCATACATTAAAGTATTTTTGCAAAAAAAGTATTTTTGCAAAAATATTAAAAAATGGCAACATCGCAAACACTATCTGCAGATATCTTTAGGTCAAGGGGCTCCACGGCAAGTAGCATAACTGGTCCGAATTGGAATTGAAAATGAAAAAAGAGCAGTTCATCTACATTCTTAGATGTAGTGAAGCATAAAGGGTTTTTTTGAAATTATTAATTTTTGTATAATTGGCAAATGTTTGAGTGAAAGAGTGAAATTTTCGACGAAACAAAGGACACTCTTTCACTTTTTCATTAATAACAAATGTTTAAATTAATTTATCGAAAAAATCCCACGTCTTTTCCTAGAGAATATTGATATGAAGCAACAGCTAAAAGTTCGAATAAAAAAAAATGGAGCTGGGGTAAGTTATGCTGCTTGCCGATTTTGAAAATTTTTATTTCGAGATAAACGTGTTCGACCTTTTGTTTTTTGACCACAATATATTTTTTTATTAATTTTTTCTATTAGTCTGCGATTCCAAGGCCATAAAATTGCCGTTCAAAGTTAAAATATTCCTCCTCTTTAGCTTTTCTTGAAGATTTTGTACTACAGTCTCCCTGTTTTGCGGCTTCTATCAAATACCACTCAGATTTCTTGATCCGGTTAGCATCGACTTTAATGCATAATTTTTATGATTGCATACCAACATCCATCTTCCAAGCCTTCATGATTTTTTAAGTAGTCGCTATGTCCATGATATTTTCGTTACGCAGAATCCTGAACGTTCTAAGAGAACATGTTGTTACGGGTAATGATTTTTTCCCACGTATTCTAGAGGTTTCAAAACTTCTATTAAGAAAAAAAAAAAAAAAAAATTTTTTTTGGAAAATTTACAGTAATCTACCCGAAATCACTCTTACTACATATAAAATAAAGGATATATTCATTCATAATAAATCGATGTATTAAGTAAGTCGGGTAATGCATGCTGTAACCAAGCGACTAGAAAAATACAAAGTGAAGCTAAGTTTGGAGTTAATTCGTTCTTCGCGTGGTTTCGCGTTATCGCGCACTTTGAAGCCATCATTCTTAGTTGTATTTATCTAGACTACGTTTTAGTCGTTAAAACTTTGTTTCAGCCGTTTCATATACCGTAACATTTTTTGGTTATTTTTTATTGTAAACGCCTCTCTTTTCAATCGTTATATCTTAATAAGCGTTAAACTCTATCTACTTTTAATTAGCGAATTGTTTTGTTTTAATGGGGAGTATTCTTAAGAAGAGGCCGAGAGTAGGTAGGTGGTGCCCTATATGACAATTCTAAGATAACATGTATTAGCGTACGGTTCTTCGCACCTCTCTAAGCTCTATTGATGATTTAGAACCTACAACGACCTTGATTGTTGACATTGATCAAATCACTAACTAAATAACTGTTCCATCACATATTTTATTGGGGCCTGCATGGAATTGTTTGCATGAGTGTCCGCGAGCAGAGCAAGAGAGGCAGATAGTGTAAAAATAATGGCAAAAGGATGGCATGTACCATGAAATTCATACCATAATTAAAATTGAAATTTGTAGAGGACGGGGTAAAGGGGAGACTGCCGACAACATGTGAAGGTAATCTTCAACTGACATATCTTAATTTACTTTATTTAAATATCTATGACTATTGAAAATTTTCAGGCTATTTTTAACAATCCTTACAATAGATCTGCGTGATCCAAATTCCGTAATGCTGATTTCAATGTCAATAGCAATTTTCACCATGAAATATTGAAAAGTAGTAGTAGTCTTTTTTACCGTATAAAGAGTACATGTTCGTAGAAACGGTCTTATGAGAGAGGCTTGAAGAAATTGCCCCAGCCGAAACAAAGTTCCCATATCAATATGATATGTCCAAATACTATTACAAAAGTGCGTTTTGAAAATTGCAATTTTCTTCCATACAAGGATTTCTCAAAATATCGAAACCATTTTCAATGGCTTTCGTCCTTGGGTTGAAGGACGTCCGTGTACCAAATTTCATCAAAATATCTCAAAAATTGCGATTTGTAGCTTGAAAGCGAATTTATATAGACAGACGACATCAGGCAGACAGATGGATGGACAGACAGATCGATTCCGAAAATGATCAGTATAATAAAAATTTGGCTTATTTCAAGCCCTTCTGCGTGTTACATACATCCGCACAAACTTAATATATTGGTGTAGGGTATAAAAAGGGGGCAGCTAGGCGAGCATCTTAATATAATCTTTCAATTTCATGCACCGCATGTATCGCATGTTGTAAGTTGTTGTTTTGTTTAAATTTTAAGGAAAAAGGGAAAGAGGATGGCGGTGCTGTAAGGACATTATTTGTAACCTATACCTCTATAAAAAAAATTAAGTTCATTAGAACTGATGTCACCATTAAAATTGCTCCCGGTCGAAACTGAATGCCCCGGCGTATCTGTAGAATATCAAATAAATTGCATTCTCATCCGCATAAACCGATAAAATTGATATACAATTCTCGAAAAATTCAGTTGTTGTTATGGTTATGAATGAAGAAATTCGCTAATCAAGTTGTCTTGCTATTGTTCGGCGTCTCCGCCGATTTTTGTTAGATGTCATTAAATTACAAACATAAGGAAATGTATTTGGTTATGCAAAATATACCGTAAGGTAAACTATATTTTTATCCCCAAGCGCTTTAACAGACATATATAATTTTTTTTTTCCTTAATTGACTTTTGACTAAGTGTGTGCCTTTATTATGACAGAAGAAATGTGAGAAAAGGAAAAAAAGAGACAAAACTTCAAAGTTGGCGCCAGTGAAATCATAACACAGCATTAGGTCCTTCTTTGTTGGACATGCTCACACACCCAAAAAAAAAAAACTAAAAACCCAAAAAAATTGTTTGAATACTTATATGCTTGTATAGTTGCATGCATACTGCAGCACAGTAAGCACTTACTTTAACGCTATTGTTTGAGCGAACTGTTTCGAACACCAAAGTGAAATAAAAAAGTGTTGACAATATAAGAACTGAATACTTTCCCATATGAAATATGAACAAGACAGAAAGCAAGAACAATCACAACTGAATAACAGCAGCAGCCGCAAACAACAAGCAACTAACAATTAACTTAAATGATGTTAAAAAGGGTCACTAGACTACCTGAGATTTCACACTTTTCTCAAGGCGACAAGATATCCAAGAAAAGAGAAAAACTTAAACAGAAAATAAAAAAAACACAAGAGTAAAAAGGGACAGCATTGATCATAAGAATTAATATTAATTATCTGTAACTGTTTTCACTAGTACGAACGTACACATACCTATACAATCAATTTTATTTATTATATGAATTTATATATATATATTATATGAATTTATATATATATATATATATGAGTTGCGTTCGGTGTCAGTTAAGTTAATTTTAATCTACGGTAAAATTAACATACAAAGAGATAGGTGACAGAAAAAGACTAAAGAACATATGGATATGGGAACATATAAATATATACACATGTATATATGTATAGTGTTCAACTCGGTGGTTAATGAGTTCATTAAGAATTCAAGAAAAGAGCAATAGTGAATAACGACCACACATCAAGTTGGTGTAAATCTGCATAACAGGCTTTAAGGTTTTCTTCTTTTTTTTTGTATTCAACTTTGCTGCAACGCAAACCTATAAGGGTAAGGTGGAGTTTTTTTTACAGCATTTAACACTTAAAACTTAAATTTAATACGAATTCATACTTATATTTAAGCACGCACGTAATACGTCATAAATACTTGTGCGCCATTAATCTCTCGTAAACTTTTCCTAAATGCGTTTGCCTTTGCGTTTGAAATTCATTCCAGCGTGAAAGTGTGGGAGCATTTTCTTTGCTTATTCGCCGTGTAATGTTCATTCCGCCCGAATTCATATAAATGGCGGTTTGTGTGTGTGTGTGTGTGTGTGTGTGTGTGTGTGTGTGTGTGTGTGTGTGTGTATATATATTGTTGAAATTTTCTCAACCATCTAAATATTCATACAATCAAAGGTTTGATTCTTTGATTTTCATTACATCGGTTTTGAAACTCCAGGCTTTTTGCACCTATAAAAAAAATTAAAGCTAACATAACTTCGCAAAAGACTAATTGCCAGTCAAAAACATTGAAGAATTTCGTTGATAAAAATCATATGAAAATTCATCATTACAATGCATCGTGTATTTGCATAACGTGACAACGGCTTGCATGCAAAGTTCGCTCTATTCAGATTATTTTTCAAGGAATCCCGCTTGGCGTTCGAGTTGATATGAATGCTTGACTTCGAATAAGCTACGCGTTTGTTCCAAAGTTTTATGCAAGTTTTTCACACTTGTGCGCTTACAAATAAATATGCCTTCAATCCATCATATTATTTATAACGCAAAGTATTGACGAATATAAAGTCCAAAATATATTCAAAAAAGATCAACCATCAATCAATGATAACAGTATTCAGAAGTATTTTGTGATTCATTAAGTTTTGTATTAAGTTTTTCTCGTCCTCGTGTAGTGTGCTACGTGATTCTCTTTATAGCTCCCTCCCTCTTCTCTCGCTCTCTGTGTTTCTCGGCCTCTCTTGCTATCGCTTTTCGTTTCTCTTATTTAGAGGGAAATATGCCGTTATTATGGTACTTTAATTTCCATAAAATAAAATGAATTCATTTCGTTGTAGAGAGTAAACTAACCCCTGACTGCAGGGCGTACATTTAATGTAGCAAATATATGTAACGCATAGAATTGCGTAACAAAAATCTGGAATAGCGGAATCAATTTAGACGTATGTTGCTGTCTGTCTATCTGTCTGTCTGCCGATCTATGTGTCAGCCCGTTTGTGCGTTTGTCTGTCGAAGTATCGTTTGAGAAATCACGATTACGATTAAAAGCACAAACATAATCCCGCATATCTCCTTATCATTCTCTCTAAATTGAATTCCATAGTCCGCCCGCCAACAGTCATTTGAAAGCTATATAAATAGAGATCCTATTAAATCGTATAAAAATATGATTTGAAAGATAATCGATATGAATTCGCTGTATCTTGCAATCGGATTGATTTAGAAACTAATTGTAGTTCAAAGTAAACGAAACGAGAAAATGTGAAAAATTCGAGGAAAATGAGGTATCTTTACTTTTTAAACATAATTTCAATACACATTCTCCAGTGTTGTTTCATAGTTTCAATGCCTTAATTATAGGAAGGAATCGCGGAATTCCCAAAAAGGTCTGCCAATTGCAGGCTTCGATGCTGCATCGTTCGGCAGAGATTTTACTACTAAGCCATTTTTATAAAATTTCGAAAGAGGAAATCATCCAAACGATGTGTACACCTGACAAATCAGATGCTTGAGGAATCAATTTCCACTTTAACTATTTGATCTTGACGCTATTGCGGTGAGGGTTGTATGAGCTGGGACACTGCCTCGATGGGATAGTGCACTTTATTTTTCGATAAGTTCGGGTGTCTTTTTTTCTTCAATTTCATCCGCAAAACACTGCAATAATTTTCCATAACAATCGCAATTAATTGTTTTCCCTTATCAAAGGCAATCAATCAAACTTTGTCGAAATGTCAATAATTTAATCATAAGATCAATCATGATCGCAAAGACTTTTCTCTTGGTGTTGAATTGGAGGATGTCTTGTCAGCACACGGGATTGTTCTCAACATCTTGGCAATCGACTCTCACAGTCCATTGTTTTACGCCTTTTTTCGTTTACGATTCAAAGTGATATATATATATATATATATATATATATATATTTGGCATTTTGGCACTTTCACCCGGACACTCTTGGGCTTATCCTCGCCTTAAGACAAATATAATTTTTCCTTTTGCGTTTTGTTTTTTCTCTGATTGTTTCCAACTTTTAATATTTGAAGGGATCAAAAAGTTAAGTTTATTTAATATTACTTAGCTCAAATAATGCAAAAATTTCGTGGCTAAGCAATCTAACTGCGTATATTAATGAGTCTCCTAGTTCTGAAGTGATCCTCATCAATATTTCTAAAATACTTAGCTAAGGCTGCTGTCGTTTTTTTCATTTCGACTGAGGAGAAATGCAAATCAAAGCTAGATCTAGATCTGGCGAAGAGAAAGAAACGGTGCGACAAAAATTTGTATTGCTTTTGTGTGTTAAAAAATAACTTCTTTTCAAACTTTAGTCTCCATTTGACGTAAAGGTTAGTCATTTCAACTTCAATTCTTTTCATATTTCATTTCATTATTTTTTGTTTGCGATATACGCAAGCATAAGAATTAATAGTAAGATTGACGCGAAAACCCCGGTGAAAAGTTTTCATAAGTTGCCGACAAACTTACCTAACCTGGGAAAGAATGCAATAATGTGTTGCCTTCATTTGTACAAGACACGTAAAATATCCAACTTTAGCTAACTTTACCAACTTACGGCTACATATCCTTTAGGTATATAGAAGAAGTATTCGTTCGACTCAGATGTTAAAGAGGAACACAATTTCTCAAGAAATCTCATTAATTTTCTTTTAGATAAGTATTCGAAATATAGAGCAATGCAGGTCATGTTGACAACGAGATCATTTTAGAATATTGCAAGTGCATGAGTTTCTGTTTTATCACAAATTGCCAAAGCAATAATTATTTGCTTCTCCTAAGTTTCCCAAGCTTTAAAGCTACCGAGATGTTATTATGTTCATCACAAGTCATTGTTTATTATCAATTTATAGTGAATGAGTTTTTTTTTTTCTGTTTTTTTTTTCTTGATTATTGATGAAGGCGTATGTTTCCGTCGATGCGCGCAACGGTGACTGGTCTGGAGGACGACGCCCAATATTGTTTGCTATTGGAGATGTTACCGATCGGGGATTGCCGTTACAAGTTTTCCGGTTCGCAATGGGTGGCGGCCGGTGGTGCTGAACCGCAATCTCCTCAGCGTATGTTTTTACATCCCGACAGTCCAGCGTCGGGTTCGCATTGGCAAACTCAAGCCGTACTTTTTAATAAAGTAAAACTAACCAACAATACTTTGGATAATAACGGTCACGTAAGTTCAATACAAACGAGAGAAATATAGAAATATTTATATGTCAATCAATGTTTCTATTAAAATAGATGGTTCTGGCAAGTATGCACAAATATCAGCCGCGCTTGCATATAATAAAGACCAGCGATCTAACACAATTGCCTTGGTCGCCACAACAAAGTTTCATATTTCCTGAAACTGAATTTATCGCGGTGACGGCCTATCAGGTCAGTTATATGTTTATATGTTTTTATGCCTTTTTTTTTTTACATATAATTCATTGATTTGCAGAATGATCGCATTACCAAATTAAAAATCGACAATAACCCGTTTGCAAAAGGTTTCCGTGAAACGGGACAGTCGAAATGTAAACGCAAACTAATGGCCGGAAGTAGTTCATCGTTGCATTCGGCACAAGCGTCACAACAAGAGGAGCACTTGGATGATGATCGTCTTAGCAGCACTAATGGGGAGTCATTGCAAAAACGTACTCGTTCTTCACTTAACGGGTTTATGGACGAAGAGAACATTTATAATTGTTTCGGTTCCACGTACTTTATGACACATTTAAGCTCATTTTATCATGATCCATACCAAGGCCATCAATCTTATTACAACGGACAATCCCCAAATTTGATAAGAGCTCATCATCCTTCGGAAATCTTAGAATATAAATCAGCTAATCATGTTAGGTCTAAAGCAGCCATTGATGATAATCGCGAATCCGCTTCGTCGAGTTCTTCGTCCCCGTCGCAAAAGAAAAGCAATTTTAGTATTTCCGCCATACTGGCCTATTGAAGTGAATATGTATATATATATATATATATTCAACTTCTATCGATACTGTGTTAAATCCTTAAAATTTTTTCTATATTTTTTTTTTTTTTATACTTTAATTAAAAATTGTAAATATTCATGATCAAGTGTTAACTTATACGTAACTAATTTTTTAATAAAAAACTAAACGGAATAGTTTGTTGGTTTTTTTTTTTTTTCATTCACACACTCAGAGAGAGTTCATCCACTTATGTGAACTGTAGCTGAGACATACATCTATCAAAATACAGCAAAAGCTCTTTATGCGCGGGGTATACGTTCCGGAAATATGCCGCAAATACAGAAACCGTGAAGACGGAATGGTAATTTATATGGGATTATAGGGGATACGTTCCTAAGTGACACAATTAAAAAAAGAAATCAAATATACAAAAAAATCAATTTAATTGAAATTTTTGAACATTTTGATTAATTATCTTAAGGCTCATCCGCCTGAGTAGCCGAAGGCGAGGAATCTCGACTAGCAAGTCAATGGTCGTGGGTTCGAATCTCAAGTGCGGTAGAGTTTTTAATAAAAGCCGATAGCCTTAGATGCTAGTGCTTTTAAGAGTTTAGTTTTAGAGTTTATTTCTCTGGCGAAATTAATAATAATAATAATAATAGATAATATCTTAAGACTTAGGCAATGGTTTGAAGCATTTTGCAATTCTCTCTTGCTTGGCAGTTTTTAAAAGCTCCTTTAATTCAGACTGATAGGCAGCAGTCGCATTAGCAATTTGCCTCTCAAAAATAAGACTTCGTTTCATAGATGGAATCAATGTTCATAAAGAAATCGCGTAGCTCATATGCCATTCTTAACTAACTTCACTAAGACTTTTCAAATTAAATGTCACGTTTGCAGTGCTTGTTGAAGACTCTTCTTCAATGGGCGGTGAATTTAATATTTCCGCCAAGTCGCGTTCAGTCCAACCTTCATCTTGCGATTCAAGCAATTCCTGAATGTCAGGATGTTGATTCTATCTGTTCGAACCCATCTCGTCCTAATCCATTCGCGATTTCGTCTATGCTTGCAGTCAAAGTTTGAAATTGCACGAATTCTTCGCAATTTTCCGCAGTCAAAGCAGGCCACAATTTTTTTCAGCATGACTTCAATGTGTGTGGCTTCAGTTCTTCCAATAATTCTTTTACGTTTACAATGCATTTTGCTATGTATCCAATATGATTTTGAAGATTCGTCTAATGTAATAGAGTTTAAAGGCCTGCATTAATCCGCTATTAAAGAAATTTATAGCTGCGAATATGGGAATTGAAACGCGAATGAAGGAAACCCGAATAAAGAGCTTTTACTGTAAGTAAGAATAGTAATGGGTTGGCGAAAAACTTCGTGGCGTGTTTCCCTATCGAAACGATTTTGTATAATATGCGGTCTTTGTGTTAAAGCCGATGTAAAGCTAAAGCTTGTTTGTTTTCAATAACTGGCTTGGCTTTAACGCAAGATAATCTTGATCTTGGCCATATATGATTTCAACATCTGTGAGTTCGAGCACTAGTTTCTAATTTATAGGCTAAAGATGTTTGTATTCAGACTTCGTACAACAACAACAACAACAACAACAACAACAACAATTGAAATGCTTACCTTTTTTTCGATAAAACTAAATTAAACAAAGAGTTTTATTTATTCTTTTAGGAAACGTGCAATAAAATTAAATTTTTTATTACATAATAATAACAAAATTACCCGAAACAGATAAGAATGACTTGTCTATGGAAAAATGCGTTTTCGCTTTCGTAAAATAATGGAAAGAAAACTTCAACTCCATCGTAACGAACCTGAACGAAAACTTCTACTACAACTTATTCTATTGCCATTTTATTGTTTAGCTGAACCGTCGTCCATGCATCAAATCACCCATTCACACATTTCAAGGTCTGCTTGGGAAGTAGAATTAAGTTAACTCCTTACAGAGAATTACACGCTAATCATTATCAATATTAGGCGCTCTAATGCTTCGGTTATGCAGTTAGTTCGCTAAACAAGCGCATCACTTAAGCACAAGGGCTTACGCTCTTTGCTAGCTTTTAGCGTCTTGTGAAACGAATAAGCTCTGGAGAGGACTTCTTCTCGATACATTTTCCTTAATTTATTTTGTCTGCTTTACGATCTCGATCATCGCATACGTTTACCACATGACGCAGTAATGATTGGTAAACATTCATTATTGTATTTCTGTAAATACATTTTGCCAAAGGTAAGATTCGCAGAATTTATATTCTTGATGTCTGTCTCTCAGTATGTCTGTCTGTGTGTCCGCATGGATGTATGCTGTTGACAATCTCTCAGAAATATCGAACGTTCCAGTACGCAGATAAGATAGGGAACTAAACTTTTTTCAAATTATTTTATGAACGACCCTACTGTTCACGTTTGAAAAATGGAAAAGGACTTCCACGCCACCACGGAGCTATAATTGATTAAATTTTCATTTGATTCAGTTCAGTTTGTGACGCTTTCAACTGATTACTCTTAAGATAAGCAATGAACATGAAGATAACATTGTCTGCGTAAAAATGAAACAAAATGGCCACGCCCACATAAACTTATACGTAATCAAATTTTTAATTTTTTCCACTAAATCTAATTGAAACCGATTAGTAGTAGTTCACCAAAGGGAACTACTTTAAAACTCCTTTATACCTATCAACCAATAATGGCTTGCAATACGAAATTTATGCTGCTACCGCAACGTGAGATAGTAACATAATATGACAAAAAGTGAATGGTAATGAATGTCAAAGATCCGGACACAGCCGAATGTAATTTTCTTATTTGTTTTTTCTTCTTCTTTTTACTTCTCACTTCTTCTTTTTCTTCTTCTTACTTAGCCAATATTCAAGTTACATAACGCGGTTGTATCGAATATAATAGTATACACGCAAGTACATAGACAATGGGCGGAATATTTTATCCGCAAAATATCAAATCTTTCATTAGATGACGCATTCATCGCCACAAACTATATTAACTAACTGCATTGTAGGTTATTTAAGGTAGGTGATGAAAGATTGCGTTCATTGCTTTAAATTTTGTTGTCCAGGCGTCGCTACAGCCAAAATATTCCGCTTTATTATAACCATACAATAAACCGACATTTAATTATACCGATCGTTTGGTAATCATTTTCCGACAAGTGTCTATCCGTCTGTCTGCCTGTATCTCTGCCTATAAGGTTACAGGTCGGTATAATTTACACATACCAATGCATTCTAATCCATAAGCGAACCCCACTGTAGGTGAATTGGATTGGATCATTTCTACGAGCATTCGCCGAATAACGTTGTGTGTTCAATATATCGTTGTCTGAGAAAAAAAAATGTGCAATTTTCACATATTCACAGCGACAAAAATCGCTGAATGAATAACATATATCGCCATACGACAGTAATGTGAAGAATATCGTAAACGACTCAATGTCTATACACATTTTCTTGATCAGCTTAAAATTCTACTCAATTCGCAACTGATAAAACATAATCTGTATTATATTTAGTATATCCGCTTGAGTGTCCAAGTAGGCAGAGTCTCGACTAACAATTCACTAGTCGTGGATTCGAATCTCAAATGCAGTTGAGTTCCTAATAAAGCCGATAGCCTTAGATGCTAGTGCTTTAAGACTTTAGTCGTAGAATTTATTCTCTGGGTAAATGAATTCTAATATTAATAATAATAATAATATTTAGTATAGCATAGTGCCATAGCCTGATTACGTTTAAAGAAGTCAAGCGTTCTCTATAAGAAAAACATATGAACCACCTCACTGGATAAGTTTAATCGAATCAGAAGAGAGATCAAAATGAGATGACTTGTAGTAGCGATGAGACAAACGGGATATAAAAATATGGGGAAAAAAAAGGAAAAGAAGAAGAAGAAGAAGAAGAAAGAGGAAAAAAAAAAACGAAAACACTTCATTATAATACCACAAATGCCACACTTGCCATAGAAAACATGAAAAGCTCATAAATTCTTTTAAAGATGCTCCACACACGCACCTAAACATACTCATACTTTATATCAATGATCAATAACCGTACCATACGGTAGATGACTGACTATTTGTGTTAAAAGAATTCGTGATAGAATTATGGTTGTAAAGCGTTAACGTACTATATATATCTATGTGCGCGTACGTGCTTGCGCGCGCGCGCGTGTAGGTGCTTGTGTGTTCATAAACGTGGGGATATGTATGCGTGTGTAAAACATTTCTAGTACTAGTATGACAGTCGCTACATTTTTTTCCCAAGTAAATGCTTGAAATGATGTCGATATATATATATATATATATATATATATAGCATAACAAGTGAAAAATCGATGCATTCAGCTTGAAATGGATCTTGAATGCCCTGCACATACGCAACAACAATAGTAGCTGAGATAGAATATGAGATTAGCTGAAACGATTTTCGGCGAGATTTTGTATTAAATTAAAATTTTATTTTATTTTTTATTTATACGCATGGAAGGAGGTAACAAGTAGGATAGAAGAAATTTAAAATATTTAACTTTGAATATTATTAGCTATTTGAGGATATGTCTCTCGTAACGGATGCCTACGTGACATACACTCAAACAGTTCGCGCGGTAAACAATTATTAAGTTAAGCGGTATCTTAAGCCTTTTAATGTTATACGTTGCCACTTTTTCCTTAACGAATATCGAACATCGAGCTTACCTATATGCGGACGCATATCTATATATATATATATATATATATATATATATGTATACGTATGCGCATACACACACGCATTACGAAGCGGTAGTCGAAACAATTTCTGTGTGATAAGACATCCATTATGAGCAGCAGTTTGACGGCTTTAAATAAATGTTTAAAGTTTGCCGCCGCCACCATCGATATATTATACAAGCATACACATGCTCGGTAAAGTAGTCAATCAGCTTGATTCCTCGTATACACGTTAGCTGGCTCACACGCATATTTCGTGGTATTTAATATTGG